GATGGATAGATTTTCTCTCCTTTCATTTCCCTCCTTCCTGTTTCTCGGTTTCCTGTCTCCTGTTTTTCTTTCACTCTGCCCTTTTCCTATTATTTTACCTTTTTTCTGCCCTTTCTTCTCAGTCGGGGAACCTGGAGGACTTCATTAGCTCATTCTTCTCTGTCAGGCCTTAAACCACATCCATCTCAGTGTGTCTGCCTCACACAGCGACACACAACACGAACACAACATCCATCTCTCCCTCCACACTCAGCACATTTCATTTTCCTCCAGCGGCTGCCAGAGTCGGACGGCTGCCTTTAAAACTCGATATGTTTCTGCACCGAAGGAAGCCTTTCCCACTTGAACCCTCCTCGTTTGTCTGCTGTAAACTCTGCTCCTGCTGCCTCCAACACTTCACAGTTTGGACTTCAGCCCGGAAACTGACGCAACACACTTTTCCACATTTTTACACCATTCTGTCACTTTTTCCTCCTCGTCTCCGTGTGACTCTGTGTTTCCTGAATTCCCCTTTTCTGTTTTCTTTCTCTTCTCGCCTCCTTGTTGCAGCTTCTCTGACTGTCTACCTGCCATCTTTACTTTCTTCTCTCTTCATCCATTGTGTGTTTTCTAGTTCCTCGCTGAGTCTTGACGTTAGTTCAGCCCAGTTTTGTTCATACATGACTCAGATAAATGAGGTTTCTCGGATGCAGCTGTTTAACCTCAGGCCAAACACAGTTTACATTAGTCTCATGCCAACTCATTACTGGATCGAGGTGTGTTTTCCCACCGTTTGGCTTTTTATTGGCCTCTGAGATGTTTGCAGACTCTCCTGCTTTATCTGTGTTTGTCATCTTGTCTGGTATGACGGTTTCTGTTTGGAAAAGGAACATGACGTTAGTTTTTGGAGGTTTTTTGTGTTCCCAGGATCACATTCTGCAGATAATCCCACTAAATGTGGAGGTAGATGAAACTGTATTTAAGAGTCTGTTTCATTGCCTGGTCGGTTTTCACACACGAGGAATCCGACTTGTTGTTTTGGTGCAAAACTTAAAGTATTAATGAAAAGGAAAAGGTTTTAAAAGCAGGGCAGATAGCAGCAGATGGAGCCGGTCCAAAGTGTTTCAAGGTAATAAAAGCCGTAGAGATGTTTACAGCGTTGTTTACGTCAGTCAGCTGGTGTTTACTGATGACATGAACACACTGACCCTGTTGATGAGGACAAGGTTCAGTCCGGGGGTCCGTTCAGGTGGAAGTGTCGCTGCATCTCCGGTTCTGTTCACACGTATTTGTTGTTTTGGACCCAAAGCTACGTTCTATAAAATGTTTTGTGAATCCTTTTAAAGGTTCAGTATCTCCAGAAATCAAACTCCAGCTTGAGATGTGGAGACTCAGACAGAACCGGTCCATCAGATCAGATGATTGAACGGATCCAGCAGGACACAGTTTAACTACTGGGGCTTAAAAATGGGAGAGAAACAGTCCAACCAGGCTGGTATTTATCCCAGAAAGTTCCTGTGAGTGTTTGTATGTGGTTGGATCCATGTTTCTGCTGAAGTCCAGTCTTTGGTGGACATACATCGAGCTTTGCAGAGGATCGGTACTGAGTGTTAGAGCAGCGCTGCTGGTTCTTTTTAGTCAGTTATTTTAATCTCCTTGTAAATTCCACAGAATGTCTGCGAACAGCTTGACATGTGGATCATGTATCTGTCTACATGTGTTGAGTTTAACTTCAGACTCTTCGTACCTGTGACCAGCGAGGCTCCTGTCCTGCCTCAGGTGTCCACTGGGGGGCAGTGTGGCGTAACGTAGCGTCCAGGACGCCGCCTGAAGGAACATCAGCCTCTCTGTGGTGTCAAGCAGACAAGGTCAAGCACACAGAGCGTTTAAAAATGAATTAATCTCCCACTCGCTCTCTGTGCCTCCTCACTCGTCTGTTTCTGCTGAAGAGAGTCGGACTCTTGGAGTGTCGAGCTGCACAGAATCCACATTTACTGCACTCGACGGAACGAGAGGCTCACTGATCATTACACACTCCCAACAGAAAACTGTGTCTGTCCCCAAGGAAAGCAAAGACACAGTGACATAAGAGATGCAGTGAATAGAAGTAGAAGACCAATAAAACATCAGCACGATGTAATACTGAACTACAGTAAGCGGCTGAAGTACGACTGGAATAGAGCAGTACAGAGTAACGTTGGTAGTTGTACTGAGGTAATACGTGGAACCACATGATAGTTCACTGTTGCACCTGAAAAGGTTAATATGACTGTAAATGAAATATGGCACCATACACATGAAAACTAAACATTACATGAAACTGAAAGTACACAGACTCCAAGATCAGCTCAGTTTGTACTGAAGGTAAAAAGAGAAGTTTGTGATTCAGAGAACATCAGGAGGGAGCCTGTCAATCACAACGAGGCTCCGCCCTAACTAGACCTCACCTTGTTCTCACCTGTCGTCAGTAGAGGACTGTGACTTTAACATCAGCTCTGGTTGGAGGTCCTGAACCTCCTCAGAGTCTCTGTCATGGTCCCGCTGCTGCTAAACTCCCACAATGCTCTCTGCTGCCACCATGAGCTGTAGTCTGTAGACGCCTCCTCTGGTCTCTACAGGATTAAACAGGAAGAGGCTCCACCTGGTGGAACAACCAGGTACTGCAGCTGGTCTACGTTTACTGACGACATCTTGACTGTGATGATCAGTAATAATCAGATCTGTCAACGTTACGGTGACTCGCTGATATCTGTCCTGGCTTCATTTATGTCTGTTCGTTTTTATAGATCACATTTAATCTAGAACTTAACATGTTTTGTGTGTTGTGATTGTTTGCTCTTTTCTTTACAGGATGTTTTTGACATCTGTCCAGTGGTTCCAGATGAACATGAGCGTATTGATTTACACGACTGTTTCATTAATGTGACCTGGAGTTTCTAGTCTGTTGAAAAACAACTCAAAAATGGCTTTAAATGCCTCTGAAACGCGATGAGAATAAAGAAATATGGGACATATGAATCCTGGATATGCTGTAAATGGGAAATGTACAGAATGTGCATTTGTTCACCAGCAGCCTTCCTCTGATCAGCTCAACAGCTCATGTCACAGTGGTCTTCCTGCAGTCACTCATATTTCTATATTTTTGTTTCCAGCAGCTGATCCCGTTTGTGGAGGACGACGGGTCCAAGCTGGAGGACTGGTCCGGAGGCCAGAACCGACCCGGCAGTGAGGAGAGGAGGGAGATCCTGGAGGTCAACAAGGTACCAAGTTCTGTCCTGTGGCTCTGTCAGGGTGTGAATCACAGCCAGCAGACACAAACCACAGCCGCTTTACATCTCACAGCTGCTCAACAGAACCTCAGTTTTATAATTCAAAATAATAATCAGCCTTGATGTTGATTCCAGACATTAAAGTCATCAACCTGAAGTTTTAGTTCTTGTTATCTGGGAAGCAATGATCCACGATGTGAAGAAGGTTTGAACAAAACTCATTTCAGAGGCTGCAGTTAATAAGCTGTACTGTCTCTGACTGTTTAAGGAGGATCTGATGCTGCAGATAGAAGCTTTTACATCAACAACATGTTTCTGGGATTCTTTTCATTGATCATTTCATTCATTGTGGTGTCAGAAGGATTATCTATGTTTCTGTCACCTGAGGAGCATAAAAACATCTGAACCGATGATGAGCCTCAGAACTTCATCAGTACAGCAGATAGACGCACGACATGAGGAGGAAGAACACATCTGA